CATTTTGGAGTTCAACCTGTGTAAAGTCAACAGTTCATGAATTGCAGTTCATAGCTGGCCTATACTCATATGATTTCCTTTTCTCGGCAGTGTTTGAAATTCTATACCACTGGCCAAACCAATGACATAGTAGTTACAATGCATAGTGGTTGCAGGTTGTGGGGAATCAGAAAAGATATTCCCCAGGCTGCCCCTCTCTCCTGCCCCATAATATATGCCAAACCTAAGGTGCTGCTTGCTAACACATGGCCAATGACTATACACTTGGAGGTCAACTGCTTAAAGGTTATCTGCCTGAAGGTGTTAGATTTTTAAAACCTTCTGCTGGGAGGCATGGTCAACAGTACTGTTTGACCCCATTGGCTGACTTAAGTCCACCTGGCCTAGATTGGGCCTATCCAGGTGTACTGGCCACCTAGGGGTGCCACCTCCACTGGCTCAGGGCCTGAATTGGTGCATGCACGGTGGACACCCTGGTCCCTGTTCCGCTACCTAACAAAGACTATCAGCCATCTAGAGATATGAGACCCTACAGTCTGTCCCACCTTAAGGAGGGCCCCCTCCCTTCTAAGAAGGATAATGGATTGTTTCCCTGAAGGAGAGCCCAAAGACAGTAAGGTCAAGCCAACTCAGGGACGACCAAGGGTAGGCTCCCATCTTGACTCTTAGAGTCCACCTACCTTCTTAGAATATGTCCTGCACACGACAGTTATACAACCCCTTCCTGTTACGTATGTGGTTACCTGTAATTAGGGGGACTTGCCCCCTGAATGTATATAAGCCTTCGTTGGAAATATACTCTCTCTGTGTGGACCTGGCTCCTGAAGTCATGGCTGTCTTGGAGGTGAAAATAGTGCATACTTTATATTGTCTGATGTCTCTTTAATTTTACCCTTCAATTACACAACTGCCTCCTGGACCCATTCAGTTGTGGGGACTGGTACCCCACAACCGATCAGCAGTTAGAAAACACCAGCCAGCTCTTTGGGGGAAGGACAAGGCTTTCCCTGTGAAGATTTGCCGGCTCAGAGGCTCACAGGAACAGTCCTGCCCTGCCCTATAGGGTCACTATGAGTCAGCATTGACTTGATGGCCGTGGAAGTGATGCCCCGGGGGATGATCCATAATATTCTCTAACATAAAATGGCAATACTACCTCTAAGGTGAACCGGAGACATATACATTATAGATACATGAATAGAGTTGGGGCTCACACATAATTTGAGCCCTTATCTAAGAACAATTAGTTCTTATGACAGTGGGACGACTAGGGTCTTGGGTCTTAAAGGCTTGTTTTCAAACAAGCATCCATCTAGGTGAGGTGTCAACTGCATCTACATGGAAGAAGCACCAGCCCTTGTGAGCCAAGGATTGTGACTAACACAATCTAAATCTCAAGGAGGGGATGGTATCAGAGCTTAAACACCTGGTTTGCTGAAGGTTATGAATGGCAGTGGAAGCCCAAATCCTATTGCAAGGTCTGCACATGGACTAAGCCTCTGGGGAATCCCCTTCCGTCATAGCTGAGAGATGTGAACAGCCCTGTTACCAGACCAAGAGCATGGCAACATCAATTACGGCAGAGGTAATTAGGTCAAAAGGTACTATTTATCATTTGATCTGCCTTTTGACACATTTTATTATTAATCATTTTATTAGGGGCTCATACAACTCATCACAATCCATACATACATCAGTTGCGTAAAGCACATTTGTACATTCATTACCCTCATCATTCTGAAAACATTTGCTCTCCACTTAAGCCCCTGGCATCAGATCCTCATCTTTTCCCCACACTCCCCACTCCCCACTCCCTCATGAACCCCTGATAATTTATAAATTATTATTTTGTCATATCTTACAGTATCCTACGTCTCCCAGTACCTACTTTTCTGTTGTCTGACCCCCAGGGAGGAGGTTTTATGTAGATCCTAGTAATCAGTTCCCCCTTTCCACCCCACC